CCTGACCAGATCACGGAGATCCAGAACAATGATCGTTGCCGGCACAGCCAGAGGTACCTGAACGTTTGCAACGGCTGGGTGAAGCCATGGGCAGTTCGGGCTACAAGTGGTCACTCTGCGCACTCAGATCCCCAGAACAATTTGCTTCAGTTGGACAAGAACAGGTTCGCAATATCTCCATCTATGACCCTCTTGCAACGTCTTGGAGGCGCGTTCCACGCTACGGCATGCCGCAACTTGGATTCCATTGTCACGCAAGGCATCATGCCTGGTTCGGAGGACCCCGACGGGGACTTCGACCATAGGCGCCAATTTCGAGGCAACCAAGGCGGCAGACTCCACAGCTATTGGGGGGTGTTTGCACCGTTCGATCACCGGAATGCGACGACCAAGATGCGGGTACATGGACGAGATGCCAAGCACATGCCACTGGCGGTCCTTCATGTCCCATCGCAGGACCTTGCACGAGAAGATGGACGTATCACAGACAGCGGCATCATGATCGTTGGCCGAACGATACCGTTCCAGTTCGTCAAGGAGGTATGGTTTTGCGTCCCGGATCCTCAAGATACACACTCTTTCGCTCTGGTGGAAAAGATCTACGATGAACGGTTGGAGAAAGAGCTGGTGTTGGACTACAATGCATCACCATTGCTCCCTGAGTTCGAGAGATACCGAACGCCAAGCAAGATCATGGAATTGCTTTGCGAGATGCCTCCTGGACCCCACGACACCAGCAAGGAGCAGATCATTCGAGACCTTACGACTGTCCTGGAGTCCCACAGGGAGAACACGGTTCGGCATCACTACATGGACAAAGGGATCAAGTTTGTCATCAAGAATTGGCGACCCGAAGACCTACGCAGAGACGAGGATGGAAGGAGAATGAGGGTGTGCCCGGCATGCTACAACATCGTTCCAGCATGCTTCTCCCGATGCACGTCTTGCTGGTCACAGTTCGTTTCTAGCGGATATTACCAAGGTTCTCCACAACGGGAGACTCCTACGGAGATCCCCAGTGACTTCATTGCTCAGACAATGGAAGCCGCGGCAGCAGCAGTGCCTGAGGCGCCCGAAGAGGAGCAGGAAGCCATGGAGGTAGAGACCGTTGCGGAACCTGAGGAAATCCCAGAACCATCTGTCATCGCGGAGGACGATCCAGAACAGGAACCTGATGAAGAAATGGACATAGAGCCAGGCGAGGACTTTGATGACGCAGTACCAGATGCAGTTGCACAGGAACGCCGTCCCGTCCTCATCGCCGGCCAGTCTTTAAACATCGATCCTGAGCTACAACTCGCACGTACCGCCATGCAGCCATCCTACTACTCAGGGAAGCGAAATGCCCATTGCATTGACGCCAACATGGTCGCTCTTTCGTATATGGCTTTCGTGGTATGCAGGACCATCTACAAGGCTTGGTCGGGATTCGCGAAGTGGGCTACTATGCCGTTGTTTCAGATGAAGGAGAATTTCGCACTTGGCCAACGCTATGATGTGCTCGGAAAGTGGGGATCATTGGCTGTAGTGGACAGAGAGACTGGTGTGAGCAGGGATGTGACTGATGAGGAGATCATTCGCTTTGCCAAGGAACCTGAGAACCTCAAGCAGTACGATCCCAACGGGACTTACACTTTGAAGCGCTTCCGGACGAATCAGATGCTTTCGTTGCTTACACGGGGAGCCAACATGATGGGAATTGGCAGGGACAACTTCAACCCTACTACGTACTTGAAGAGCAACAGGGATGAAGATGTGAAGGCTATGCACTTTTGTTGCCTGAACGTCCTGTGCGAGGTGATTCCGATGGTGACAGGACACCAACAATTCTCAGTGCTACGACCAACGCCAACTGGACCGGTGGACTTCTTGTACATCGACCCCGTCGGTATCCTGCTGACTCATGCCGATCATTCAGTCCAGACCATTGGATTGCTGGTGGACCACAATGTGCAAATGCCTGCGCATTTCATGGACAGATTGAACAGATCCAAGGCTGAGAGACAGCAAAACCCGACGACCAAGCGTACTGAAGCCCTACACCACATTTCGGCCGCTGACTATCTCCCTCCAGGTGGTACTTCCATCCTGGACACGCCTGTCACTACGGAGGAACGTGCAAGCGCTTCTTCGGCCAAGGGACCTTCAAAAGGGCGTGAGAGAACCGGAGGTGAACAGCATGGAGGCTGGAACGCCAACACCTACTATGACTACACCGCCGGCAAAGGCCGAAACAAAGGCAAGGACAAAGGAAAGCAAAGGGAACAGTATCCAGAGGAAAACCTCCGGCCCTGGGACCGCGATCCTGCGACCACGCGAAGATGGAGATGAATCAACGCTTGGTCTTCCTCGCCTATCAGTTCGTGACCTCTGAGCTTCGCCCATGGAATGCCATCGCGAATGCTTCTTTCTTCGGTGACGCCTGATTCGTTTGCCATTTCAGGGGATCGTTACTGACGTAGATGAGTGTCACAACGTTTCTAATTGGGATGCAAAGCTCTGATTTTCAATGTCAACGTTGCGGCGGAACATTTTCTGTTGTCCTATCGTGCCATCTTCCGGGTGAGCAGCGTCGGAGACGCAACTCATGGGGGGTGCGAACGGACTGCGATGCCTTGTCAAGTTCTAAGGTGTCACTATAAGAGCTGTGAGCAAGACCGTGTAAAGTGCAAGAGAAGGGGGCACGCTACGCGTCCCTCGACTCTAAGGGGGGCACGCTACGCGTCCCTCGTCTTTACCTTTCTATGTGACCGCCCACGCAACGTTTGGCTCAAGTCAATGCCCATAGCTAAGTGCTATAAGTGTCTTCTATCCTGAGCAATCAGAGCTATCCCGTTGCACAGACGAACCGCCGCCGGCAGTGAGTGCAAAAGGAACGGCCGCCGGTTCTGCCTGCATAGGATTGCACGTGTGGAAGTGTGAGAGAGACAGGGTCCAGTCTGTGGAGAGTGCAAGCCAGCCACACCTACATTCATTACAGCTCTGGTGGGGAGAGCAGCAACCTAGTCGAGATCAATCCCCCACGCACTAAACCCCTAAACCCTTTATCCCCAAACCCTAAACCCCTAAAAACCCCTAAACCCCTTAACCCTAAACCTTTAAACCCCTAAACCCTAAATCCTAAACCCCTGAGCCGGCTTTTGTGTTCCCGGTTTTCGTCGGGGATGTCAAGGCAAACTCAGCTATAGTAAACCCCATAAAGTTGGAAACCGGATTAAGGCCAAATAGTGCTGGGATTCCCTATACATTAGTCTTAAGGATGGAGGCTATCAGGTTTCCAACTTTTTGGCTTCTACTGTATAGGAGCAGCCGCGGCAAGTTCTTTGGCGGTGCGGGAGGTCTAGGTTTTGGGGGTTTGGGGGTCTTAGTATTGGGTTGAGGGATGTTTGGATTTTGGGATTTGGGGGGCTACGGTTTTAGGGTGAGGGTTTAGGGTTTAGATTTAGGGATTTCGGCGTTTAGGGCTGCAGGTTTTGGGGCTTAAGTTCTTCCCCTTGTTTGAGGCTTAGGAATACCGGTTAGTGCTTACGCGAAACTCCTCTTTCGGGGTACAAGCGATACTGCTCGCCCCAGCCCTATTGCCCTGATCCTTGTACTCCCTAAACCCTAAACCCTAAACCCTAAGCTCAATAGCCCGAACCCAGAGCCGATACCACCCCAACTGCAGGTAGCATCCTAAACCCCAGTATCCAACCCAGTGAACCCTGATATACCTTAGGAGCTGCCCCCACCCTGTAATAGTGGTAGAATAGGAGTATGATAGGGCCCTAATATAATCCTATATTATCCTTATGGTCACTATTACAGGGTGGGGGCAGCTTCTGAGATATACCTGAAGCCCCAGTGCCCTTCGCCTGAAGCATGCCTTGGAGGTGCCTACTGCCGTCGTTTCCAGCTGGCTCACATGAAAGACCCGTAAGGCTCTATGAGAACAGACTGTAGAAATCCGTAACCCCCCAAACCTGCAGAACCCGACCCCTAAGTACACACATCGAGAGGCGCCCACTGATTAAGCATGCAAGCAACGCCTTGAATCTTCAGCCCTTACGGTTTAGGGTTTAGGGTTTAGGGTTTAGGGGTTTAGGGTTTAGGGTTTAGGGCAGACTTTACACCCTAAACCTCCTTAAGCCCTGCACCCGTTCAAAAACCTTTGCAGCAGCTCCTAGAGCAACCCTACAAGGATATCTACACAACTCCCAAACGTAATAAGTAATTAATAACCTTCAAGCCTTCATCCTGCGTATGACCGTAATGTATATGGGAGTTTCCGGAATTAGGGGTACCTTATTTTGGGATCCGTTTATGATTTCTTGTCCCCTATTTTCGGAAATTTCCGTATCCCAGAAGGCCTACATGCTACATTTAGGGATTCGTACTATGAGTTCGCTACATAGCCTTCCAGAAAACGGCATATATATCTACAGTCTCCATTGTAGCTGCCTTTTCTTGGTTTGGCCAATGTTGTATTCAAGATCCTAGAAAGTCACCGCCAAAAGGAACAGCAAAGGAGACTACAGGTATAGTTTTTGGACTAAAGGTAAACCCCAAGCCTCGCACGGCTAACCCTAACCCTTGTAGTAACCCTTACAGCAACCTTAACAGCTCCTAGAGTCTTCTAGATCCCCCTAACCCCCCGCCCCCCCGAAACTCCCAAACCCTGAAACCGTCACTCCTCCCCCCCCCTCCGCACCACCCTAAACCCTAAAACGCGGACCATGGATCGCCGTCTTCGGAGACCGGAGTCCTTTGAAGATGTAAAAGCAGAGGGGCTATTTCGCGCAACGACGGCGCCCAAGCGTTTGGACTGAAAAAGATGGCATTGGAGTTTTTTTAAGATGGTTTAAGGTTGCAGGGCTCTGCAACAAACACCCAATCCTAAACCCCCAAACCCTATAAGTATTGACCCTAAACCCTTAACCCCCTAGACCCCTAAAGCCCTTTAAGCCCTAAAAGATGTGTTCGTCGATGCCCACAGACACCACATCTTTTGCTACAATGAGGATTCTGGCCAATCGCGGAGTTCTCTTCGTACAGGGTCTGCCAGGTGCATCAATGTTCCTGTTTTGGGTATATATGATCCCGGTTCGGCCGGCCCCCCCCCCTCCCCCCCCCCAATGGTTCCTCCTCCCCCTCCTGTGGTGTGGTTGTGGGTTGCTTCCCCCTCCCTGTGGTGTGGTGTGGCGTGGTTCGGGAGTGGGTCTGCTTAGGCTGGTTACCCCACTCCCCCCTGTGGTGTGGTGTGGTTTGGGTTTCCTGCGTGGGTCTGCTGTGGTGTGGTGTCGTTGTGGGTTGCTTCCCCCTCCCTGTGGTGTGGTGTGGTTCGGTGGTTCTGCTTAGGCTGGTTAACATGTGGTGTGGTGCGGTTTGGGTTTCCTGCGTGGGTCTGCTTGGCGTTTGAGCCCTCGTGTGGACAGACAGATTCGGCTTGGGGAGCGTGGGGGGGCGGGAGGAGGGGGCGGGGCGGGGTGATACCATTGGGGGGGGGGGGGGGGTGGGGTCGGTGAACCGAGAACCGGGATCATATATAGGTTCTCCAGGGGTCAGGGTTTACGGGTTTAGGGGTTTCGGGGTTCAGGGTTATCGGTAGAATAGGTTGTCGAAAGCATGGTTGATGATGAGGGGGGATGCACAACACTACAGTAAAAGCCAGAAAGATGGAATATGATTATCCTAAACCCTTTATGGCAAATTATAAGGTATCTTACCCTGAAACCATATTCCAACTTTCTGGAGTTCCCTGTAAAGTAAAGATAACCAGTTTAGTTACACCATCGCGACAGGTTGAATGACGATAATGCCATGCTTGGAGGATCATGGGACTTAGTAAGTATGGTTATAAGTACCCTAAGTGGGGTTATATCTAATTGTAAGTATAGTTACCTTAATTATAACCCTAGTTACTAAGTCCCATGATCCTTTAAGTGGGATTTCGGACGCCAGCTCCAAGTTACCCACCTTCCCCTCCCTGGGTTTGGAGTACCATACTTGAATACCCTTTTTGGGGGGGTACCTGTTCCTTAAAGGAACCATTATGAAATTGAAGTCTATACCTTTTTCTCCCCGGTTACTTCAAAGTCCAGCCTCTTTCGAGCTTCTTGAAGACATAGATACTACAAGAAAGTGGATGACAAAATAATCTACAACATGGTACTCGTAATCTTGCACCTCCGATGCGATGTCTGCTACAGATGCTCTATACCCATAGGCCCCAAAGTAGTGCCTTTTTAGGACTACCTTGTAGAATTCTATATATGAACCCCAAAAAGGAGCTACTTTGGGGCCTATGGGTAAGCAGTGCATCCTCCAAGCCTCGTCTCACGTTCTTATGGACCGACTCCGAGGAGCTGTTTCAACTCCTCCACTCAAGACCTGGAAGGGCTTAATGTAGGGGCATCAATAATTTTAATAGGTTTTGGGACTGAACATTTAGAATAGGGTTTTGGGGGTTTTCTTCTTATCTATAATAATTAATATACTCCCGCCAAACAGTATTCTACTTATTAAGGCCGCTATATTAGCGTCCACGTATACCTAATCATCATTTACTCATGCAAGGACTATGCTACAAAACTACTAGCCTAGCCCCAAGGATGTAATTGTTAGGTCCATTGGAACCTGCGGGGAAGTGCTTTATCTGGTCGGTTCGGGGGGACCTGTCTCAGGGGCCCTAAAATTAGAATCGGGTTTCTCTAGGGGTTTCTAAGGGCGATTGCATAAAGCATCCTTAGCAATTAGAACAAGGCTTTGTAGTAGGTTCTAGTACAGTTGCAGTGAGGAACTACAGAATACAGAACAGTATTGGTATGCATTCAGGATTGATGGTATGCGCCCGGAAGTGATTGTTCCGTTGGGTTTCGGTAGGGCCACTCATTACAAGGACCCAGAATACAGGGTTTGAGAGTTGCGCAGAAATTAGAATTCCATGGGTTCTAAGGGTTTAGGGTTTAAGGGTTTTTTTCTGCAAGGGCCCATGAGCCGAATCCGTCCTTCCAACTCTGCCGAGCAACCCGTCCACCCAGGAGCTCACGGTACCCCTAAACCCTTAAGTGCTCAAACCCAAAAGAATAATTCGTTAAAGTAGCTCAAGAAAGTAGCTCAAGAGATAAATAAATATATATATATATATATATATATATATATATATATATATATGTATATATATATATAGGATTTTCCAAACCCTAAACCCCGCTTGGTTGGGTTTGGGCCCCCCTGTCAAGAACGGATCCTGCGAAAGAGTTAGCCTGGAGGTCTCTTGGCTGCGGGTGGGTTCCGTCCGGACAAGATACCGACCATGCAGGAGGCATCAGCGCATTTCAGGGTTTAGGGTTTAGGGTTTTGGGGTTTAGGGTTTTGGTAACCTTGAGCTTGTTGTTCAGACCATGTCGGCTGAGGTTGTCAATGGTGTACATGGGGTGCCGCGTAGAAAGGTATCATAGTCATACAGTGTGTTCAGAGGCACCGGATGATATGGGCGTGAACCGGGTTACCGTTGAATCAAAGGGGAAAAGGAGGGACCTTTAATGGGGACCCCTTACCCTATAATGGGCTATATAATGGGTATATAATAGCTATATTAAGGGTATATACCTAGGGGTCCTTACTAAGGGTCCCTCCTTTTACCCTTGGATTGAAGGTCCGAATGCTCATCCAAGACTAGACAGACCTTGATTTCCCAACTCGGTGCTCCAGTGAAGGTCCTGGACCCCTGAATAAAACAGCCTAGACCCTAAACTCTGAAGACCACACCCTAGTTAACCCTGACCCCTAAATCCCTAAACCCCTAAACCCTAAACCTCTAAACCCCTAAACCCCAAACCCTAAACTCCCAAAAACCCCTAAACCCCTTAACCCAAACCCTTTAAACCCCTAAACCCTAAACATCAACTTAACCCCCGTCCCACAGCCTGACTCGGCGGGCCTTTGGTGTTGCGAGTTGGAGGTTGAACTTTCGGACTCCACCTAAACAGTCACAGCCTACTTACCATATCAAAAAGTATAGGTTTAGGGTCTAGGCCCTTCAGGGTTTATTTAGGGCTTCCAGAGTAGGAATTACTAGTGTGGTTGTAAGTCATGGCCTACCCATTTTTCACACTGTAGCTATGGTTTTGGGATTAGGATCTGCTATGTAGCGTAGCTGGGACCCTACGACACGTACCGTACAAGTCGGTGGCAGAGGCACCAAACCTATCAGAACCATCCAACTATAGGTCCAAACCAACACCCAAGATTTTCGTATGTTCCGAGAAGGCTCCAGATGGTGGGGAAGGATAAGCCCTAAACCCTAAACCTTCTGCCTCAACCCCTAAGCGTATACCTTACATTACCTGGACGCCCCAAACCCCAATAAAAGCATTCCCGCCCCCTGAAGCCTGGAACCCTCAACACCCACTACTACTGCTACTACTACCACCACTACTACCCAAAGGTGCAGGAGGCCGGGTCGCGAATTTTCGAGTCCACATCCTGCACTGAGCGGGTGGATGTGCCTTTGCCGCATTTTTCCCGATGGTTTGGGAGTCTCTGCAAAGCCTGGCTTGCTAGGGCACGTTTTTATGCCGAGAGACTCAGGATAGGGTTCTGGAGTACATTATGGTATACATGGTAATTATAGTTTTAATGGGACTACAAAGGATAGTTTAGACCAGGGAGCCAGGGTTCTGGCGTGATGCGGGTTGCAAGGATTTGTCAGTTTTGGGGGTTCAGGTTTATGGGTATAGGGGTTCGGTTTCGCGGGTGGCATCTGTGAGGAGTGTGAGCTGTAATGGAAGTTTTGTGACAGAATTATTGGGTCTCCTGCAGTGCAGCAGTTGTGCCTAAGAGCTGCAAGCTATAGTGTAGCGGCCTTAAGCATTGCTTATGCATGGTATCGCCAAGGCGTAGTTTCCAGTCGACAGCATGTGCACATGTTGTTTGTCTCGTGCCTGTCTGTCTTATCTGCGTTTCTCCGGGCATCCATGCTGTGTCACATCTCTCTCCCACCTCGAGAACTAAACGTGAGGCTTTCAGGTGGATGAGACTAAGACACAGGAAAGGATGCTTGCGAGTGAAGTTTGGCAACTTTAACCTTAAGTTCGCTCCAGAGCACTGCTTTCGTGGCATCTCCCCTCCAGAACTTTAATGCCCAACCTTACCCCCCATAACACAAACATATTGCCGCTGAACATGCTTGATTGATACTCGGCGTCCATCTTATGATCTTTCATTCGTCCTACTTTCCTGCGGGTTGCTGTAGCCTGCAGTTCGCTGCCGTCCCTTTGCAGTCCTGCAGTCCTGCGAGCTTTGCCCGTGCGTCCATGAGCATTTTGGTAACAGGCAGCATGTGTGGTGTACTGTAGTTGGGTCTAGCGGGTTTGCGAATTATGAGTTCTTGATGTCTGTTGTGCTCCTACCATTGTGGATCTGCAGGTCTTCGTGAGTCATCGCTGGGGTGCTGCACGCTGGGCGAAGTACGTGAACCTGTGCCTCTATCTCAACCTGTCCGCTGCAGTCGTGTGCTCCCTGAGCCTGGGTTCTCGTGATGGAACTTTCTTCACCATCATAGGATCGATATATTTGCTACTATCCTTCTTGTAGTAACTTGACGTAAGTTACTTGGCCCTAAACGCGAAACTAAAGCCTGAAATCGCCGAAAGGCCCAAGAAAGCCTCAAGCCCAGGATTACATGGGTGCTGGCCACTGCAGTCATGATTTTACGTGCCGGAAGCGCTGGCAACCTAGGGGGCAATCGCTTGCCTCTGGGCTTTAGGATTTAGGGGTTTAGTGTTTTGGAGTTTAGGGTTCAGGGTTCAGGGGTTTAGGGGTTTAGGGGTTCAGGGGTTGGGGGTTTAGAGTTTACGGTTCAAGGGTTTAGGGGTTTAGGGTTTAGGGTAGGTACCCTAGGGGTGCATCTGCTATTTATGTGTTCCTCCGGGAGTCTTATATGGTTGTATGGTATGTGAGGGCTTTGGGGGCTGATAGGGTTAGTTATATTCCAAACGGGTCAACGTGTAGGGGAGATGGGTATATGAAGAAGTAGAGTAGTTTTTACCTTTGACCCTTGCATGCTAATTATAAGTGGTTCGAAACGCCAACATCCCAAACCCCGAGGCCCTAGACACTAAGGTTGCTGCTCGTCTTGGTCTACTTGCCCATGGGAGTGTTTTTTCTCATGTTCTTTGTCGGGCAACACGCCATCCACCTTTTCTCTCCAACGTCCCTTTGGGTGGATCGTGCCTGCGCGCACCAGACAGATCACGAGCTAAAGCGGCGGCAGATCCAGGCGCTGCCAGTGTTCGTTGCACAGTCATCCTCTATGCTGGTGTCGCCTGGCTGCAGGGACAAGGTGTTAGTTTCGAGACTGCCATAATGCCTTCGGTGACTTGTCATAAGATTGATTGAACAGCTCGGAATTGATTGCTCAAAGTCTCGGCGATGTTGCGATGTTGTCTCTTGCTCATAAAGCGACTAGATAAGGAGTACATGCATTGCCTAGTGCAGTTCTGTTTAGGTTGGTATGAAGTATGAACAGTGATATTGTCACGGATTTGTTCGTCTTGTGCCTATATGATCTGTCTGCTGTATGGCACCATGCAAAAACTTACATGCTGGGTTGTATCTTAAGCTTGAAACTTCCGGATAGAGGCGCGGATGTGTATGTATGAAGGTGTATGTGTTGGGGTGTGGTTGTGTTGGCCTTACAGACGTGCGCGTGCAGAGTTATATACATGCCTGTTGTATCGTTGTAGAAATGTGTAAGTGTCTTCGGAAGTATGTATGTAGATGCATCCGTACATATGCATACATACATAAAGACGAGCTAGCATGCATTTATACATACATACATGCCGACATTCAGGTATACAGAGGACCGACGGACGGACGGACGTACAGCTGAACATGCATACATACAAACATACCTGCATACGTACATACCGACCACCTACCTATGTATGTACATACATACTTACCTACATACATACATTCATTCATTATATACATACATCCTTGCATCCAATGGATGCCTGCGTGGATGGATATATGTATGTATGCATGTATGTAGGTACGTAGGTAGGTAGACAGTCAGTGCGTTTGCATGTACGTATGTGTGTATGTATATATGCAAATACGTACGTACGTATGTATGTATGCATGTATATATGTATGTATGTGTGTGTATGTCTGCATTTACCCATGTATGCTAGTTATGTGTGTAATTAGGTATGTGGTTCTGCATGTATGCAGCATGTAACATATATGTGCCTATGTATGTATGTATGCATGTATGTGGGCCTGCAAGTAGATGAGTGTTTGCGTACGCAAATAAGTAAATTAGTAAGTGACTAAGTAAGTATATACAGGTAAGTAGTTGAGTACCTGAGTATTTGAGTAAGTGGGTAATTAAGTGCGCAAGCACGTCTATTCGTAAGCAAGTTTGTGTTTGCTTGCAGGTCTTCGTCTATGTGCGTGTATATGTAAACATCTGCACGTTTGTGTGTATTGTTTATGTTTGTTTGCACGTATATGAGTATGTGTACGTATATGCCTATCTGTGTAATTTGCGTAGACATATCCTATTCATGTAGGTTTGTATGTATGCATGCATGTATATCTGTACGTGTGTGTATGTATGTGTATATATATATGTATATATATATATGTATATATATATATATATATGTGTGTATATATATATATATCGAACTTTCACATGTAACTGTATATGCATCGTTTTAAATGTATATAAATGGTGGTGCGTAGGTGCTATCCGGTGCACACAGTTGATGCCTCACTCGATCTCGCCCCAGCTTGCTTCTCTCTTTCTTGTTATGGCATGACCGTGCAGGTTGTGGGACGACGAATACTTCCAGCGTCTTTGGTGCCAGCTAGAATTGGCTACGTTCGCAAAGTACGGCAGTGTGCAGAAGGCGGGTGAGATGACATCCAGCTTGCTTGAAGTTGCCTCCACTGGAGTATCCTAATTCCAACCCTGTGCTGTAAGCTTTGGACCGAGCCCTGTGTTCTTGTTAAGGCAGTTATGTTAAGTTACAAGAGCAGAGAAAGCCATGTTATTGATCATAGATGCCTAGCAACATCCTGCACACAGAACCCAGAGCCTTCGAGCCCTGATCTGGCAATTCTGCTATTTCTGCCGTGAGCACGGAACAAACCTTCCCGAAGCACGGCAGTAAACGAGGGGAAATCAAGAAACCTTCGTCCTAAACCTTGAAGTGAAATCGCTAACGGCTGAAGCCTGGATACCTGCACCTCGAACCCTAAATGGGAGTTTCCAAAAATTTATTGGGGTACCTTGTTGTGAGGTCCTTATAATCAGGATCCTACTATTTAGGGTACTATACTAGGGTCCCCTGTTTTCGGAAACTCCCATATGAAAGCGACGGGGCATCGCCTTTGGTAGCTTGTTGGATCCCAAGATGTCCTAACCTCACAAAGGGGGCTCTTAGAACGGTGTATGTTAATGAAGGACTTCTACTATTTAGTTATCGTCTCTGCCAGCGGTGTGTCATTTTCCGAGACTCCCAGTTCATCAGAAAACAGGTGCCCCGGGTCAAGGCGGTGGGCCAGTGAGTGTTGGGTTTAGTTTCAAAATAGACCCCGAAACATAGTTTCTTATCTTAAGGCTACCGTAAAGACTTCATTGGTGGGGCATTAACCCATGAGCTAACCATAGAAGAGGCCATCCACAAAAAGGTATTACAACACAAGGTCTAGATTCTAGATGGCATTCGCGATGCAGGTTAATATCCTTCCCCTTTGGTTGGCGCCGTGGCTGCTCTCTGCGCTTGTCATAAACCTCGGCGCTGCTTCTGGTTGGAACCTCCTGTGGTATGGAATCTCTCCAGACTTTCTATACTCCCTGGTCGCAACGGTTCAAGCAAGGGTTCCGCAGAATCTCTCAGAGCCAGTCACTTCGGTGATCATCGTTACGCTCTTTGGCGGTATGGTGGGCTTACTCGCATCGATCCCGTGGGCAGTCGCTTGCAAAGCCAAATTGCGAAGCCACGAAAAGATGCTGGACGTTTTCAGGAGTTTAGGTTAAGTTACCTTCATCGGGGTCTAAAGCAAATACTACGATTTCCTGTTTATGGTAACTTAAACTGGGTTCATTAACAAGAACCCAGGATGTTGGACCAAATGGCGAATTTTGATTGCCGGGCTGCACAATGTACAGAGCCAGCCGATAGGCTACTAGTGCAGCAGCAGGTCCAGCATCTATTTCGGGCACCCAGACCGCAAAAGGCCAGCCACACTGCATCATCCGCCAGCAGCTCATCAGACATGAGTGAGGTGGATGAAATTGATGACGGGTCGCTGGATGCTTTCAATGGCTACATTCAAGGGCCACTGCGTTCCGTCGTCATGGAAAATGTCGGAGCAAAGCTGCATGTTCCCTATGGCTTGTGCCTGCTCGCTGGCTTGCCAATGACGTTTTACTCCAGCGTGGACATTCTCCAATGTGATGAGGCGTGCGTAGCCAGCAATGGGTTCAAAACTTTTTCCTCCTACATGAAGGCCAGCATGGTGACCTGGCTCGTGAACATTTTGCTGGTTTACCCCATCTTCTACCCAGCTCCCTGCACCCAAAGTTCCAGAAGAGCTTTTTATTGATGTGACAGCTGGCAGCACTCTTGATCCGATATGAAGTCCTCAGTCCTAAATCGTAAACCCAACCCCCCCGAAACCCCTAAACCACCCCAACCCCCAAAAAATCAAGCTCCTACAGGAGCTCTGGAGTGTAGGATGTCCTTGGAGCCCAGGTTTTTCTTCGGATGCTCAAGCGCGCTTTCTCCGTCCAGCCAGAGTATTTGCAGTTCATCTTGGCAGTCATCAGTGCCTTCGTCTGAGCTTTCCGAAGCAAGGGTTTAGGGTTTGGTGTCGATTCATCGATAGGAATCTCATTCTCGATAGGAATCTCATTCCCTGTAGAAACTCTATTCTGACTTTACGGCCCCCTACATGGAAGCTCACTCTCCTTATAGTAAACACTGGTGTTATGACGGGCTCGACAGGGTTCTAGCAAACTACCTCGGCAAGCTTGTCTTGGCAGAGTGCTTGTAGGTTGGCACATTTTGAGGCAGCGTTGTGAGCTTAAGCTACGGCTACTTCTGCAGCGGATGGGTATTTGGACTCTTCTACCTCTGGGTCCAGCACGGCATGGTGGGCCTACTCCCCCTCCTAGCTCTCTTGGTAATCCTGGTCTTGCAGCAACAGTGCCTCTTCGGCAGCCATCGTCGGCCCGGCCTGTTCAAGAAATTTGAGCCGAAGCTAACAGAAGTGCCGTAGTAATTAGAAAAGTATCTGGATGTACAGTATAGATGGCATGGAAAGTGATGTAGGGTTAGATTAGGGTGTTGAAGCAACACTAGTATTTTATATAACATCGCATGGTATGTTGGGCGTAGTATAGTGCACTATAGTACTATATACTATAGTATAGCAACATATATACATAATGCATAGTGTAGTATGGTTATCGTGAGGAATGTCAGGAATATCACTGGGCCCATAATCCGGCCCTATCTCACCCGATTCGGAAGACACACTTGAAGTCCTGGTCTCATCCGTGCCCGTAAATGCCCAACCCCCATTGGAAACCATAACCGACTCCCTAACCCTCATGTCTGAGAGATGATTCTTTGCCCCAGTCGTGCGAAAGAGGCTCAATAGCCTGATGATCAGGGTCTTCGGAAACCAATTAGGGTTCAGGTTTCGGATTGTAGGTTTCAGGCTTAGGGCATTAGGGCTTAGGCTTCAGGTATCAAGATTAGTCTAGAGCCCGCCTTTGAATCAGACTTTTTGGCCAGGAGGTCTGCAACAGTCGTCCGCTGATGGCACGTACCGGAGCTTACACGCTTTTGACGAGTTTACGATTTAAATCCTCGGGGCTTGCTCCCTTGGTTCCAAGCCCAAAGGGTCCTAAGTGCGTATATGGGGGATACTTGCCCAAACTATAATGGTAATTTCTATCGTAGAAACCCTACATGCTACAAAAAAGGTATTTAGGACTCTTTGGGTGAACCCAACAGTATGTAGCTGAAGGGGTGCTCAGGATGCATGGTTCAGATCCCGGACCAGGCAACAAATTTTCACTTCTTGGTAGCCAAGTTCACCTGCGTGCCTGTGAGCGAAAAGGGGGTGGCAACATTATCTGAGCTTGGCCGGCTTTTCTCAAAATAACCTAAGTCCTTACGCCGAAACCTCGAAAGCCCAGTTCGGAAAGGTTTCATGGAGGTCATTGGCCCGGGGCTGGGGGTTTCTAGAGGTTTTGTGGCCCTTGGCTTAGGGTTTAGGGCTTTGCCTAAAGCCGCCATTGTACATCCGTTGTTTGGCTGAGTATGGTACCTCTAAACTGGTGCTTCCATTAGCTTGGTTTTGTTCCCAGGCCCCACCGTAAAATCAATCATCTTCGGGCTTACGTATTTGGCTACTTGAAGCTACCATAACTTCCTTTTGCAGGGTTCTTACTATAGCCCCAAATATGGTGTCTATAGGGCCCACCAGTTCGAATTAGCGGTGGTGCTCTTTCCGCCCGGGCACCCCGGCACGTTAAGTTCAAGCCAGACTGTCTTGTGCTTAGTAGGGAATGAGGGAACGGATCCCTATAGTAGTCCCGACATAATCCCCAATAGTCTCCATGATCCATTCCCCCATTACTAAGAACCAGACAGCAGACGTCGAAGTAAGCTCGGACCAGCACTGCATCAAGAGGCCACATGAGGTCTACGCGGGTTAGGGCTTCAAGGGGTTTAGGGTGTAAGGGTTTGAGTGTTCGCGGGCTTAAGGCGCTTAGGGTGTTTTTTTGAATTTCAGAGCTTAGGGTTTCATGCTTGGCGCTCTGAAGTCGTCAACTATGTATGTATGTATGTAACAATGTATGTATGTGTATGTATGTATGTATGTATATATACCCATGCTCCACCATCCTAAACCCTGCAGGCCTTAGTATCCAAGATGATCTACATCCTGGCACCAAATCACTGGGCCCTGATTTCCAGCACTCTAAACCCTAGCACCCAACACCCTTGTATCCGAAAACATTAACCCTAACCGCCTGTGGCGTAGCTAGTGCAGTACTGTAGCAGACGTTTGATGCACTGGCTGGCTTATGCATTAAAGAGGGTTCAGGTGCAGGTTTTAGGTTCTAGGATTCTGGGCTGGGTGTAGATTCTAGGGGTTGGGGTTTCGGGTTTGGCTTCTTGCCGCCACACGTTGCCACGTTCGGCTCAAGTTTGCGCCTGCCCAGTGCTTTTCGCAGGACCGGTGGGGCTTGGTGATGTGGCTTTGAGTTGTTGTTCTGAAGGCCCTTTTAAAGAAAGGTTGTGGGGAATGCTTCGCCACATGGCTAGTCTGGGGACAGGTTTTTGGACCAGATGGAAAGGGATTACGTGAGATTTCAGGTTATAATGAAAGTTGAGCAATGAGACTTGTTCGATCGAAGCGAGGGTCGAGATCCCTTTGCTATAACACCACCAACAACACGCAGCTTCCATAGCAAGGTTGTGGAGACATCTTGTGAAATATTGTACAGGGAACTCCAGAAAGTTGGAATATGGTCTCATGGTAGGATCCCCTATAATTTTCCTTAGAGGGGTTACGATAATCATATTCCAACTTTCTGGCTTCTACTGTATACCCTTTTTTCTGTTTGGGGCTGTGACCTGATCTGAGGTAGAACCTAACAAACCCGGGAGTGCTGAACTGTATATAAGCTGGAGCGTTATGGCAGCGTCATAAAGAAGGAACCCCAACATAATGTCTAAGTGGTAGTAAGAACCCTTATGAAAATAGAATCCTGGTCAAAAGAACATCTCGAAGCGAGGTAACCCCAAGCCCTCAGACCTGTTAAAAAGCATTCTAAAGTTGTTTAAATCCCTGTAATGCCCGCTAGAATCGGTTATATATATATATATAACCTTATACGGTTCTATATAACCTTATACAGCCGCTAAAAGATAAAAACAGGAAAGCACCAAAACTCCATGCCACAGGGTCCCTCCACTCTCGAAGATGACGGAAAAGGAGTTGACGAAAGGCGGAAACCGTGTAATATGGGAGTTTCCGAAAATAGGGGGCACTACTATAGAACCCTAAATAGTAGGATCCGTATTATAAGGACCCCAAAATAAGGTACCCCTACTTTCGGAAACTCCCACATGGAGGTCGGAACACTTCGTAGCATTAATCCAGATGGTCCCTAGATTAATCTACTGTAGACCTCAGAGTCCTAGCCTGCTAATTCAGGTCCCTTTATTCGGGTTTGTGTGCAGTGTTTGGAGGCTTTAGTATTTGGTATTGAGGCTTCAGGGCTTTTAGGATTAAAACTTTAGGGTACGCCACTTCGGGTTTAGGGCTTTTGTGCACGTGGTCGTAGGCTTTTGGGTTGTAATGGTATTCCCATTTGGAGCAGCTTTGTAGGGTATTGGAGCAGTTCTGCTTCGCCGCCAACCGCTCACTTCCCTACCTCCCCGAACCTTCATGTGTCCCCGAAACCTGTGTTCATGCCGGGTTACTTTGACCAGGATGGCCTCTGCGTGCAATTGAAGATGCGACCGATTCAGCTTGCGCGTGGGTTTGAGAACCAAAGATCCCTGCGATGATCGCCAGCATCATCGTGATGGCTTGGTGTTTGTCCTACCGGAGATGAGGAAGTTTATGTCGATTTTGCTTCTCTGAACAAGGTAGGATGTCTGCTGCTGCTGCTGCGTGCCTGTCGCTGCTGCTGCCGCTGCTGCTGCCCGGTGCTAGGCGTGCTGACGATGTTGGTGATGATGCTGATGGCTCTACGATCATCCTGCTCGCCGCATTCGGTGTACGTGGATATTGACCGCCGCAGTGGAGTTGACGTTGATGCTGAGGCAGTGGAACGGTCGCGATGTTCATGATGGTTAGGTTGTCAAGCGAAGGGTGTTATGGATGTTGATGACTCGGGTGATGAACCCCGTAGGATCATCATCATGAGCATTCTGGCGAGTATGCTGCTCGTGATGGTGATAAGGATGAATGCAGTGTTTGTGATGCCGTCTTTGTTGGTGGTGGGCATGAGTTTTGTTCATGTTCAACTCTTGAGGGCTCATGCCCTGCATGTGCCCTTGCTGCCAACGACTGTGAATCCATCTCATCTTCGACCCGGCGTGCACCGTGATATTACGTCCAACTACATAGTCTATATTTTGACAGTACACGACATGTATAGACAGCTCTTTCAGGCCATAGTATATGCTCGGAATTAAGATAAGTATCGGAATCCTTCGAATACTTGTCCTGTGGCTTGGATAGCTAGTGAGTACCTTTTCGAACATGCTATGGCTGCTATGGCAAGCTAAACCTTTCTTGATATGCTTCAATGATCTAGTTTGATGCGCTGCCCTCTCTTTAGCCGATGCCTGGGTGCAGGGTTGTAGTGAGTTTAGTCACCGACGAGCACAGGAAGGAAGTGTTTTGGGTATGCCCTACACCTTTCACCCGAAACCCCGACTCATGAACCTCCCAAAAAAGGGCCCGACTCCCTTAACCACTCAACTCAGGACCTCCCTAAACCCGAATCCCGTTTAAGACCTCCACCGTGACCCCAACGCCCACTTCCCAGTCCCTACAAACCTACCTGAGCCCTGAAGAACTTACTTTTTTAGGTTCCCTACTATGATTTCCTTTTATAAGTCCCTAAAACGGTAGGTTCTTCAGGGTTAAGGTAAGGTCTAGGGCTTAGGGAGTGCGGCAGAGCCAGGTGCCAAGCGAATCTTGGATGAAAGCGAGGAGCCAAACCGGCGCAACTTACAGTTTCTGGAGTACTGATCGAGCTAAGGGCTTAGTGTTGTCAGGGAATACTTGGCGTCGAAGACGGCCCATGTAAGGATATAAGTGCTATCTGCGTTTAGCATGTAAGGGTTCAAGCCAGAGGCTGCCTGGCAGAGAGCTTCAAAAGTCCCGGCTCGGGAGGGTTTCATTGCATGAGGGTTGAGGGTTTAGGGATTCTTGTTTTGCTCTCCGGATAGAACCTGCCTTTGTGACAGGCTTTACCTACAGGCCCTACCTTACCGCCGCAAGACCTACCCGCATTTCAGGAAATCAGGAATCCGTGGCAGAGAACCCTGCAAAGGTAGGGTTTTAGGCTTCGGGTGCGCACTCAACCCTTAAACCCCAAACCTCCAAAACCCCAAACTCTCAACCCTCCCCAAACCCCCAAAACTCTAAACCCTAAATCCTGAGCTCCTAAAGCCTACACCCCCAAACCCTAAACCCTAAACTCCTAAACCCCAAAGCCGTACACAATCGGAGCCAGAGCTCTCGGGCTGTTTTGCGCAGACCGATGCTGCTCATAGTGTAGGGGCCGTAAACAATTTGAATAGGGTTTTGGGGTACAGTCTACTATGGTTATAGTAAGAAAGGACCCCCCCCAAAAAATAGTATAGGTAATTATCAAGGCCCCTACACTAAGTCTTTTTAATAGCCCTTAAAGGAATCCTATTCTAACTATAGGCCCAAACCCTAAACCCTTAAATCCCTAAACCCTATTCTAGTCATTCAGGCCCCTACAGTGCTCATCTCCCCCTGAACCCCAAGGCCAAGCCCCAATAGCTAAGAGCAATTCCTCTCCAAAGTGTACGATAGTACTTGCAACACGGAGGCCTGAACAGATGTATATATTTGATGTAATACTAACTATATATATATATATATATATATATATATGTATGTATATATATACATGTGTAAATATGTATATATATATAGACATACAAGTGTATGTGTGTATATACATATATTTTTAGTTACACACCTACTGTATCTGTTTTTTTTTTACATATTTCCTTTTGTATATAAATGTCTATCTATTTGCAAGTACGTATTCAATTGTTCCTGTATGTGTATGTGTGT